CGGCCGGGCGCAGCAGGGGCGGTAGAGCCGGCGCGGGGCGAGGCAGTGTGGATGCCCGCGCGAAGTTCACCAGATGTCACTAGGATTCACCGCTTATCACCCGCCGCTCGAGCTACGATTGTACACGGTGTCGCCCGCCATCTGATTGTTAATGGCCAGCTTGTCAGCATATTTCGTGACAAAGAGGTCCTTTTGAGAGGACCTTAAGAAGGGAGAGAGAGAAGGTAGATTAGGGAGGAAGAGAAAGCTTGAGGTGGGTATGACGAAAGGGTTTTAACTGTAATACAGCAGCTCTTGAGCGTTTACAGGCGCCGAACGGGTAGAGCTGCCATGCGTGGATCGGTCTTCACAGGGTGGATAGTCAATGAGGCTCGCGGGAGCGACACTGAGTATCGCAGTGTTACCCGGTCCTGATGATTGCTATTAGTGAATGGGAGTATTGGTGAGCTATCGCGGCCCTTGATGTACCTTATCGGAGCCGTTAGTGGTCTGTATGCCACAGGACAGTGGTGAACCTCTGCGTATCGGGGGAGCTGTAATAGTCGCAAATCCGGGCTAGCTTCTCTGGTCGAGGGGGTGTCTCTTTCGTCGGTGAGTAAGTCATAGCGTTCAGTGTGTGGGTGCTAAGGGTTTGCTATCTGTCTCTTCAGTCGACCGCGAACGCCGAGTCATGACGATTAACGGACGTTTTCCTGTGATGGTTGGGCCACGTACTTGGGCAGATCCGGGCGGTGTCTTGTTCGGACCCCACGAGCGCGCGGGGGCGTGCGTCGCCCGGCACGCGCAGCACGCGCAGTGCCGGCGCGCGGCCTCGCTCCCGCCATGCGCAGTATCACGCGCGCGGCCCGCGCACGCCATCAAAAACCCGACGCCGCGCCCCGCGCGCACGCGCGCCGCAGCAGCCACCTCGACGACGCGCCCTCACTGCCAACACGCCCCACTTATAAATGTACCTCTTAAACGTACCCCCATACCCCTTACTCCCATACTTCCCATACTCCCATACTCCCATACTCCCATACTCCCTGGGAAGTGAGGTATGGGAGTATCGGCGGCAGTTATGGGGAAGTAAGGGGTATGAGGAGGTACGTTAAGAGGTTACATTAGAAGTGGCGCGGCCCGATATTATCCCATACTCCCCAGTTATCCCATACTCCATATCTACTCCCATACTCCCCATACTCCCATACTCGCTCATACGTCCCATGTAACTCCCGATACTCCCATACTCCCATTACTCCATTACTCCCGATGACTCCTCATACTGGCCACGGCATGACTCCCATACTCCCATGACAGTGCGCCCGACCGTACTTTCCCATACTTCGTTCGCCCATACTCCCATACTCCCATACTCCCATTTACTTCCCATACTCCCAGTTACTCCCATACTCCCATACTCCCATACTCCGGATTGGACTGCCTCGCTGCATACTGGCGCCTCATGACAGCCTCCCATACGTGCGCGCGCATAGCGCCCGAGTACTCCCCTGACTGACTCGCGCCAGTACCTCCGCATTACTGCCTCATTATATCGGTACCTCCATTGAGCTCCATACTGGGCGCATACTGCGGCAGTCAGCTCCCATACTCCCGCCATAGCTCCCCTATACTCCCATACGTGTACCCCTGAGTGACTCCATACTCCCATAACTCCCATACTATGCGCCAGGTAGCGTCGCAGCCATGAACTCCGGCATTACTCCCATTACTCCCCATTACTCCGCTTACTCCGCCGCGCAATACTCCCATCTTGACTCCCATGACCTCCCGAGTGTACTGCTCCCAGCTGTGACCCTCCATACTCGCGCGCACTCGTCCGCCTCCCTGGCGACTCCCTCCTCCCTCCCAGTTTACCCTCCCCGATCATCTTTCCCCTACCTTGCGCCTGCGGACTCCCGCGGTCCCCTCACTGCCCGCATTAACTCGGTCTGAACTCCCAGGAGCGTCCGCGTCACTCTCCCATGACCTCTCCAATGACGTCCGCGAGCAGTGACTGCGCGACCAAATGACTTTGGCCCATATCTCCACTCCCATCTGCGCACTCCCATCCAACCCCATCTCCCATACTCCATTGACCGTCCCGACTCTCCCATACTCTCTATATACCTCTCTACGTGCGCAAGCCCTGACCTCGCCATACTCCCATCTGACTGCCCCTTACTTCCCCGATCCCATCCGACCACTAGCTGCCCGACAGTCCCAACGATCGTACTCCCATCCCAGGCGTACCACTGACTTCTC